TTTAAGCCCCCCAACTGTTCCGGTTCCCGAGTCAACGGCTTCCCCGCTAAAACTTTCACGTGGTCGCACGCGGGAACCAGACATGTATGAGGGTTGGTACCGCGGTTCCGGGGTGGCATTTGGCCGGGAAAATCGCTGGCAAAATTTTGATGCCGGAACTTGCTTGGTTGCCGAGTTGAACTAGCTGGTAAAGCATCACAACATGCGTCTGCATTCGCTTTTGTGGAAAAATGCAAATTGTGACGACTCCGGCGCGTGTGTATGTGTGCCTGTTTGTCTAGGCATTTCAACTCGACAACCAAGCAAGCTCCGGCGCTAAAATTTTGCCTGTGGGGATTTCCGGCCAAATGCTACACAGAACCGCGGTGACAACCTTCAGGTGCATCCTCATACGAGCACGTGAAAGCTTTCGCGGGAAAACCGCCGACTCGGGAGCCAGAAAAGCCGGAAGGCTGAAATTTTAAGGGGACGTTTTCAGCCTAACATAGAACTTGAGAATTTCAAATTCAGTCCCCTCCCCCAGATGTGCGTGATTCTTGCTTGCGGCCTCGTGAAAGTTTTTGGCGGGAAAATTGCTAACGCGGGAAGCAAAATAGCCGGAAACTGAAATTTCAACAGAATGCTCCCTGTCCAATTACCACATAGTTTCACAGCTGACTTCTTGAAATTCGAGAACCAGTATGTCACAATTTCTAGTTACAGGGATTTCAAGAGACCTTATTACAGCAAAAAGAATTACTGCAGACGCAGAATTGCACTGTTCTGGCTGGTCTGCGTCGCCAGTGATTTTATGATGATAATTTGTGCCGCAGCGGCTGTACTGACGAGGTCTAGCTGTGGCGTTAGGTTAAAACGATATGAAGTTTAATGAGCTGATACTTCTTATCCTCAGCTAAATTATTGTTTCTTCATAAGTACTATAAGTATCTTATCAGCAGTTAATATCTGCTCTTCGAAGAGTCCTTGTAATTCTGCCTGAGCCTAATACATAAACCAGCACCTAATGTTAAAGATACACTCGTATTTGCACGTTTAGCAAAGATGAATATCACTCCCATCCATTAACATCGACTGTATTCATTGCGGGCTTCGTTAGGTGAATACATATTCTTAAAATATAGGCCGCCCCCTGCTTTCGGCGGGTTTTTTTTTCATCGCTAACTCAGTGAATTCACTTAGACCTCTGGCTCAGCGGGCCTAAATGTAGTCAGAATCGGTTTTCTGGGAGGAATGTCCAATCTGTTTGAAACGTTTTGTTAGATTTTTTGCAGAAATTTATTGCAAATAGAAGAGATGGGAAAAATTGTACAGGTAGCGGAAGAGAGGGGAGCTGACCGAATTTTTTGATGATCAAATTTTCAGTTTTTTGCACTTTTCAGTTCAAATGCAAGCATCCTCGCCGAAACTTCTGACCGCTTCTATCATACCGTTGGCTTTTTTTCGCTTTTTAGCGCAGTTTTGAACCTGATTTTTTGCGCTTTTTACACACCCGTGCTAATTTTGATGATACTTTAGGCAGATTTGCACTCGTCTGTTGATTGTCAAAATTATTTATTGTCTTAAAAATAAAGAGGTGTCGGCGACAGCTACAGTATGGTACGCCGGTGCGGGCGCATTGCTGGAGTGTAGCGAAACCCGGCAAACTGCTTCAGGGTGTTCTGTACCGGTTCTGATGTTTGCTCTCTTAGACCCTCTCGGAAAGCCGGAGATGGACAAATATTATATATGTATATATTGTGATTGCAATTCGCAATAAAACACACCCATCGTGCTCTGCCTGGATGGAGGTCTTCGGTCTTTTACCCAATTATTATGAACCCAAAATGATCCCTGAAGGGGAACAATTACGGTAAAAATGGAAACAGGACTAGGGTGCATAACCGGCCGCGCGACCTCTTACAAATTAATTGATGCGCAAATCTATAAAGTGCTTGTCAATAAGAGACCAAAGATGACAGGGATCGTCACATAAATCCCTGAAATTGCTGGGTTAGAAAGAGGCATGAGGGACGAACAAAGATACGAAAATGCAGCATTAAACTACTTTCTTGTAAAAACTCAGCATTATGAGTACTAAAGTAAATAATTTGTTAGAGTGGATCATCAAACTAACTGTGACAATCTTGTGGTACAGACTGCTCTCAAGCTAATATGTTTGTATATATGAGAAGGAAATTTTTAGCTTGAAAAGAAAGACGTTTTTCGTGACTAGTTCCGCTGGAATGGAGAAGAAAAGTACAGTGCCGAAGAAATGAGTGCGCCTTTTAAGCTTTAAATTATGTCTAGATATGACTAATACTGGAAATAATTTCAGGCCATAACCGTCGTACGAGAGGTCTAGTTGTGTTGTTCAACAGGAATGTACACGACCTCAAGGGCATTCGTATTTAGCAATTTAATTTCAGTTTGGTGATGTTCTCTCAAACTTTACTAATTATATATCTGTAAAACATGATTAACAATGGGCGCAATGTGATGAAGCGATGGATATGTGATAAAAACAATGTCGACTTTTATTTATTGTCTTACAAAAACATGAAAAGTTTAAGAATATTGCAAATAGTACAGATGAGAATACAGGGCCGAGGAGCTGGTAGACTCCGTGAGGCATCGTACCTCCAAGTTTCTGGCCTCGGCTTTTTGATAACTAGCTGTAAACTCTGGACTAATTTTACTTCCAAAATAAAACTTATTCAGTTTCGGTGATGAAATAGACAAAGGGCGAGTGCGATTTTGGCAGGGATCAAAATACCACTGCGTTTCGACAGTTTAAACTAAGTGTGAAAAAGGCATTGGCACTTTACATATTTCACAAGCAGCAGTCTGCGGACAAGTACGAAAGAAAGCTGAGGAAGCTATGCGCCAGCTTAAGCCGACTCATTTTGCTCTCGCTTTTTCCTCAATGGAGTCGGCGATACGGTCGGTTACTTCGGCGTGTATGTCAGCGACAATTTCCGCTCATTGAGGCATACAGTACGAGCAAGCGCCATTGTCACCAGGTACGGGTCACAGTTCGATGCCGGTCTTCGATCCTCGAAATAGCCCTAAACTAGTTGATTATCAGATACCTGATTTTTGACTTTTGATCGGAAAAATTGGCAATATTTTCGAATTTTTTCACTTTTTTAATAAATAAAAAAGAAACTTTTTATTTCCTTTTTTCATTCCTTTTGTCTTTATAGATGAAAGACACCGCTCAAATTCAAAGCTGTGTGTTTGTTGACAAGAGACACAAAAGCTTGCAGTTATGGCATAAAAAGGATACTTACCATGCCCTCGTCGGCTGTTTTACGAGGAATTCGGACGCTGCAACTGCGACTTGCAACACCCCAGGTAAATTCCTTGATGGGCGCTGTTTCATGTCTACCTGCAACTCGATGCATCAGTGCTACCGACATCATAACTCCTGGCAGTACGGAGTATAAGAATGTGATCAGTGCAACTCACTAGTTGAAGACAATGCAACTCACCAGTCAGTCTGCGCGCGTTATCTTGGCCCTGATGAGGGTCGTAGTAGGCAATATGATCAAGATGTACTTTCGCCAATTTCTCACAAGCTTCTTTGATTTCCCTAAATAAAACGCCGCTTCAGTCAAGTTTACGTTGCCGATAGCATCACGTAAATGCAGCCTCAGAGCTCCGAAACAAGGCACGTATCTAGTTATGCGTTTTTGCCGTGCAGCGCTAGAGCGCTGCAATAGGCAGCAAAAACGCATAGTGCAACGACCCTGTCAGTGTGCGTGTGTATGTTTGTGTGTGTGTGTGTGTTCGTCTGTCCGGGCGTTTCAGCTCGTCAACCACGCAAGCTTTCAGGCTGAAATTTTGCCAGTATGTTCCAAAGCCAGGTGCCACCCCAGGACCGCGGTTCAACCCTCACGCACGTCTGGGCCTCGCGTACGAGCACGTGAAAGTTTTGGCGCGAAAACTGCTA